CCAAAATGTTTTTCAAGCAATTTTGCTACGTCCTTAACCTTTTCTGCTTTTTGGGTCACACCCATATGAATTTCTTATCGGTTGATCTGTCCAATAGTGCAGTTGGTCTTACAAATTTTCCTCTCTGCATCAGTGTCAAGTTTGTAAGCCATCTCTTCTTTCACAACGATGTTTCCCAATTTAGTTTTCCGAAGAACTATTCGTCGGCAGATGGAAATTTTGAAATGAAGCCGCTCTTTTCATAATACTTTTCGCTTCTTGTTTTCAGTCCAACGGTACCCAAATTCTTTTAATCAGTTTAATCTTACCATATTTCTGAAAAATATCATGATATTTTTCCTTTGTCACAATTGTATTGATTTTTTTAAATGTTTTCTCTATCATCCCAAATTCTCTGTCAGCAGAAAAGAATGAGTGCCCTGTTACAAGAGAGACTGTTTCAATTTTTCGTATGCTTGTTCGAGCACAGTTATCCAGAATCTTGCAGCATATAGTTAAAATATTTATATATATTATTATTTTGTCCAGCGCAACCATCAGACACCAAATGAATGGAGTCGTATCCTGAGAGATCAGCTGATCTCAACTCATTGAATACAGTGAAAGCAACCTCGTTTAATGATTTTTTTTTTGCTTTGTGTTCCCTCCAGGTATAAATTGAGACAGTACTGGGGTTCACGGATTCATTTGACATTCCTTTAACTACTAAAAGGTTATAACAGTAAAACTGTCGTGAATAGTACGCAATTTGATCAGTTACTTTTGGCAAAACAAGGTTCTTCTGACAATCAAAACTCAAAATAAAACATCTTTGTGGTTTTTCTCGCTTAAGAAAAGAAGAAGGCTTGGGCCTGTTTCTTGTGTAACTACATTTTCATTTTTAGACACCTTTTTTCTTCCTCCGTTTTTCCGCTGGATAAGGTTTTGTAATTCTAGGCAAGTAGCAATCATCCATGCTAGGGTAAAAGAATCCAATGTTGAAATCTGAGCAACATATTTATCTGAAAAAAACCTGAGCAACCTTCCCAGATTCTTATTTGCCATAATTGAACATTTTCCACATTTTAGCGATATTAGGTCTGATGGTAGGTAGGCATGTGATAAGTGATGTCGTGATTAATGCGATTCAATAGATTGAAAACTACAGATGAACTTTTTTACTTCTCTTCTCGGAGTAAACTTAACTTTCTTGTGGTTTCTTCCTCGGGTTTTCACTGGGGCATGATATACACCGTTCTTTAATTTTCGAAACACTTCTATAATTTTATGCTTAGTAATAGGTTGCAGTACCTTGAGATTATTGCAGCGTGGTTTACAACCAAATATTTCAAGATTGTGGTTTTCCCCTTATAGGCTTCTTTATTTTGGGGTTGTGTCCGCCAGCGTGACAGTATTTCAAAATGAACGCATCTTGCTTACTTTTTTCTAGGATGGAGTTGAAGGTTTTGTAAAACTGCATGACATCACGCATCGTTAAAATCTGGCACTGGCATCCAACTCGGTGATAACAGATGGGGTACAGAGGAGGAGTACTTTGGCTGAGTACCTAATTAAACTTTAGCTAATTCAATTAATAGTCTATTAATTCAAGTCAATAATCAAAATTTTCATTAGGAATCTCTCAATTTTATGAAGAACTTTAGCAAGTGGTACTAAGCTGGTTATGTTTTTACAGCCAACTTTCAAGCTTCATATTTTAAAATCAGACATTATCATATCACTTAAAAACGAACGATCACTTACGAACATAATTATACAGTAACTTCTAACATATCAAACTTCTACCCACCTATTGACAATTTGTTATACCAATCAGTTGTTAAATACATAATTGAGTTCAATGATTAGACTTACCTTTATCACTTCTGGATGTTTTTTCCATTGTTCGGGATCGCTTTTCCTCTTACGCGTCGTCCTGGATTGACAGATATATTTGACTCCATGAATCTACTTTGTAAACTAATAATATGCGAAAAAAATAGTTTAAGTTAACAGAGTGGTTTCGTTAGTATAAATCTATTGTATCTAAATTTCATCTTTTTCATTTTGCTTCTGTTTTCCCTTTTCCCAACCATCCCACTAGCATCTAACATTTTATAACTTCCCTATTAATCACCTATTAACACATACCATACCTAAATTTGTCGACTCCCTCATTTTCTTTCTTTCTTTTCATCATACCCTTTCCTCTTTCCCCATCTTTCCCCATGGCAGTTTCTTTCTTTTTTTCTCATCCTCCTGCCAGTTTTTTTATGACTCACTTCACCATTATTCTTTATCATTAACTTTCATTATTAACTTTAAACTTAAACTCCATCACTAAAATTAACTCCTTCATTCATCTTCTCACATCCATTCGACCCTTTCAGTCTGTGGACCCCATTACCAATAATACCACACATTTCACTTAACCAACTCAGATATACAGTCAATCTAATCCCCTCACAGTTAACTTAACATATAGTCTCTATTATTTAATTCTTTCTCTAATACATATTCACACACATATCATTTTGTCCATGGTTTTCAATTTACATACTTAATTATCTAACTATGTCCATGCAGTTCACAACAACATAATATTCAATTTATTCTTGCTGTTGTGTATTACTCAACCAACATTTTACATTTCCTCTTTCCTATATTAATACATATTTACATTCATTCTTTTTCAGCTTCATTTATATTCATTTTAATATACTTCACAATAGGTTAATACTACATTAACACTATCAAAAACTACAATATAATAATAGTTAGAATATCATATTCTGTTATCATATCTCATAAAACTTTTTAATAGGCTTATTCATTTTACTAATTAAAAAAATTTTAAACTCCCAGAGATTTACACACCAGGTCTCTTACTGTTGTTCGGCAACTACCATTACCCAATCAAAAAAAATTTTAACCTGGAGACCATACCAACACAAAAGACCCAGAGGCAGACCTCCTATGAGATGGACAGATGATCTGAAAAGGACTGCCGGGAAAAATTGGCTTCAAGTAGCGTACAATAAAAAACAATGGAAAGGAAGGCTTGAAGAGGCTTATGTTCAGATGTGGACGTGAATGGCTAGACGAAGAAGAAGAAGAAGAAGTGGAATATTGTCAGGGCCGGCTGCTTGGTGCGTTTTGTTATTGGTTAATTTTTGTTAATTATTAGTTTGTTGACATTGGGATTTATGTTTTGTGCATCTTCTGGCAGTGTTGGAACTGCACTTAGACACTCACGAAACTACTCATAATATATTTTGACTTGTTTCTGTGGCGATATTGCTTTGCTTTTGTAGTATTGCTTTTTACAATTAGTTTTTAATACTTTACAATAATACATATTTTTTATTCTGTTTGAGTTGGATGTAATTGATTTTTATTAATTATCCTTTTACTTGAACTATAATATATAAAAAATAATATTTATACAAAAGTTGCAGTATGCAATCTTAATTATTAGTGACCTTTCAAGGCAGGCCTATTTTCCATTGAAAAAAGATAGTGAAAGTTGTGTGAGTGGGAAGAGAATAGGGAATAATAACCCGGCTATCCTGGTAGGAAGCAAATTAGAGCCATTACGCCGTAATACTCGCAGCGATATTAACTTGTTCAAGGGTAATGGCGGCAAATTCAATGTAACAGATATGATGGATACCCATGACGGGAAACCATGGGGAGGTGCGAAAATTACTTTTACTTTGAATTAATTACTTACGCACTTTTCGAGCCTGGGTGTAAGAATACATTAACAAATGAAGCTTTAAAAATAAAATATAACAAGAGTATGTGAAATATTTTAAAAAATAAATCCAATATATTTTACGAACATTTTTATATAAAATTATTTAGACAAAAATAAATAAGACACATCAACACAGAAGATTAAAATGCAATTAATATCGATTATTCGTAAAAACAGAGGAAAACACAATAGGTAACAATATTAAGACATAAATTAAAACGTATATACAGTAGATTCTCACTAATCTGGCACTTCAATAAACCGACACGTCCAATAATCCATAACCCTCCTCCCAAATCTCTCATGCCCGGTAGGAAGAAGAACTGGGTGGTCTTCCTCACTACATAATAATGCAGATGGGAGGGGTCTGTTTTGGAGACTATTGCCCAACAAACATTCGTATCTTCTAAAGAAGCGAGCGCACCAGGCTGTAAAGTGAGTTAAGATGGAATCACATTTATGCCGTGTTTAAATGCTACTGGAATATTCGAGAGCTTTCAAAAACATTCGTTTGTCAGTCTGATTTAAAAGTTTGATCACGAAAGAGATAGTTAGTAAATGGTTCCATAAAGACTTTAGTCGTACTTAACTCCTTTATATATACTCTAGGCCACCCAAATGAACAAGAAAATAGATCAAGTGATTGGAATATCCAAAACATATTTCTACCATCAAACTGCACACCTTTATTGCGGCCCATGGATCACCATATTATCCAAAAAATAAAGTCCTTGTATAAAAATAAATTGCTCATCGGTATTATTTCTCAGACACATAAGCTGGAGGCATTTGAGATGTGGGCGTACCGAAGAATGTTAAAAATCTCCTGGAAGGATAAGATAACTTACCAAGTTGTATTAGACAGGATGAACAAACAAAAGGAGGTCGTATTGAGTGTTAAAATGAGGAAACTACAGTGCCTGGGACATATTACACGTGGGAATAAATATCAACTGTTGCAACTAATTATGCAAGGAAAGATTGAAGGTAGGCGCAGCATAGGTAGGAGAAGAATGTCATGGTTGAGAAACCTCAGGGAGTGGTTTGCTTGCACTTCCATACAATTGTTCCGAGCGGCAGCCTCCAGGGTCAAAATTGCCATGATGATAGCCAACCTTCGTAGCGGAGATGGCACGTGAAGAAGAAGATTATTTCTCAGAATAGGACATAAAACAGAACTTCAAACAATTTAATTTGAGGATGTTGTATTCGCTTTCGCTTACGCAAGGAGCTCTGTATGATCTTATTTAATCCAGTCATTATGGAAAGAGGTCATACAATTAATTATATATCACAAGTAGCAGAAAAACGTGATCCTAAAGATTATTTAGCTATCGCCGATTGGTTGGAATATTTACCAGAAAGAGTATTCCAGGTGATTGAAGAAGATTTAAATTTTTGGTTTGAAAGGACCGAAGAAAGAGAGCAAATTCTAAGAGATGAAGAAATATGTAAATCCGTACAATGACGATGAAAGCCTAGAACTATTGGAGCCACTAACTACTACATAAATGTAAAAGAATTAGTTGAAACATGAGAAAAAAAGGTTTTTAAACAGGGATTATTAATTGTCATTGAAATTAAGGAATCCAAACCTGGAACTCCATTAGTTTTATCACTATCTGAACTTTGGATCCCATCACAGAAGAGAAGCATACAGATAGTAAAAATTAGATTTTAAGTTAGGTCTTAATTTTCATTCGTATTGTATTAGATATTGTACTAATTGTAAAAATAATAATTTCCATACAAATTATTTAATTGGGGCTGCGAACAGTATAAGTCAGAGGTGAACAGTTTATCATTGTGTTTAATACTTTACTGACTTGTGAGTAAAAATCCAGAAGTAACCATAGGTTCCTGCCTATTTCCTGACATAAAACTACTATCTGAGTAACTGCATATTTTATTTGGTTATAGGAAAATCTTAATCTCATTTCTCTTCTCGTTGATAATCATTTTTATACATATATATATATATATATATATATATATATATATATATATATATATATATATATATATATCTATATATATATATATATATATATATATATATATATATATATATATATATATATCTATATATATATATATATATATATATATATATATATATAATATATATATATATATATATATATATATATATATATATATATTGTTACGATTTTAAATGTTATGGCATATAGAACTGTAAATATTTTATGACTAATTCTTTTTTATTGATTCTCGTAATTTGTAGGTCAAAATCTACCTGAGCTTCGATACCAGTTGTTTACAGAAATCTCTAGACCCTAATTTTAGTGAGTCATCCACGTTTCGAACAGTTGAAAAACGAGTCGAGCGCCTTCACCAAAATACGAGATTATTCAAGAAGTCCGCCGAATAATCTAGATGACAACAGTTGTGTATATAAACCAAAGATTTTTTTATTTGGGGTCAGTCATAAGAAGATCGGGAAACGCGGTTTACTTGTAACGAAACGTGAAATAAATACATTTGTACAGCTATTTAATAAAATAGTAATTAGTTATCGTGAGTTTTAATAAATTAGAATATAGACAATAAATTAGAATAAAGACAAATAAATTAGAACTATATAAATATACAACAATATATATATATATATATATATATATATATATATATATATATATATATATATATATTCCGTTTTATTTCAATGTCTGACAAAATTCCAAATCAATTAATCAATTCTCAACCGGAAAAGCTCCAAAGAAAAAAGAAAAATGGCTGCTCTAGTTTTTACAGATGAAAAATTGAAAAGTTTTTGTCAAACTAGTCGAACTAGTTTTTTACCTGAACAAAATGATACTTTATCTACTTTTATTATAACAGTTGATGATATAATTAAACTCTTTAAATCTAGTACTTTTGCAATGTGTTCGAATTTACGTTAAGTCCATTTGTTAAATCTCCTATTGTGAGTAGACTAAAAGATACAGCTCATACTTATATTACTTCAAATAAACTTCATGAAATTATTACTGATGTTTTTTCTACTTGGAAAAATATTCGTAAAGCTCTTTTAGAACAATTTAGTCAAACAAAATCGGAAGACACATTATTTAATGAATTACGAAGAGAAGCGTAAAAGCCTAATGTACATTATAGAGATTTTTATCTGCGAATTAGTACCAAATTTAATATTCTTATGAAACACGTACCACTTGTACATACTAGCGCACAGCAAATTGCAACTTTAGCAAGATATTTACTATGCAAAAGCTTTAAAAACTTTTATTTCGGGTTTACAGTCGCCTTATAGAGAAACTGTGTATTATGCTAACCCTCATACAACAGTGTTTCCACTGTTTTAGATCTCTTAACTGTAAGTCAGATTTTTCCTTTTCTTCCCTCCGGAGAGACTTTATCACCTTCCAAGCTTATCCAACACTTGTTCCACCCATATACCTATCCACCTCTGCACATCTTCGATCCCAAATTGCATTTGCCATCCTTAATCCTAATCGAAATAAACGCGGGTTAATAAACGGACTTGTAACTGTCATTAAATTCATAACTGGAAATCCAGACAGCGATGACTTAAAATTGATTACCGATTTCTTATTGTATATGATGTCTGTGTGCTTTTATCCAAACAAAAGTCAGTTTTTTAATTTATTGCATTTGAAAGAGCAACGTTTTTATTTTGGCTATTTAAAAATGGATATATACAGAGTTGATTTGCTAGTGTGATTAAAACTGAACGAAAATCGGAAAAAAATATGTAGTTCATAGTATTACTGCCTATTATGAATTATATAGCTCTTATATTGGCAAAAGCTTCTGCAGTAAAAATAAATGTTTTTTCACTCAATTTAAATGTGCGTTGTTCTTGCAGTGGATAATAAAAGCCGCACCTGTATCACAATAATCTTTTGATCCATTTGTGTAAAAAGTAGTATACATTTAGTATTTGTTTAATATCTGATTGATTATTTTCTTTTTAAGACATGTTAATTTAAAATATCTAGATATATACACGCAAAAAATCAACAACAAAACCTCTATGTTGACTTTAATTGTTGTAGGAGTGAAATCTACTATGTTTCTAAATCCTTCACATAATGAACCTGAGTTTTTATTAGTGCAGTATTATCCTGTAAGATCTTGAATATTTAAGGTGTAGATTTTGATAAGTGGTGAATTTTTGACTTGATTATCATTTTTTCTGTGGCGACAAAGTCCGCCACAAAGAGCTAATGGACATCCTCAAAGCAAAACAACTACAACACAATGACCTTCGAATTATAACAAATCTATATTATAAACAGCAGGCACACCTACGCATTAATGAACACACATCAGAAGAATTCGAAGTTAAAAGAGGAGTGCGACAGGGGTGTGTATTGTCACCACTACTATTCAATGCATACTCTGAAGAAATTATGAAAAGAACTCTTGAGGGAGAAACAGCAGGAATCAAGGTTAATGGAACACCAATTAACAACATTAGATATGCGGACGATACTATCATAATAGCAGACAACCTACAAGACCTCCTAAAGCTAATGAACAAGATAGTTGAGTATGGAGAAGAATATGGATTATCAATAAACATCAAGAAAACTAAATTTATGAGGATATCAAGAACCCAAAATAATGGTGAAAGCCTGACAATTAACGGTAGTGCTTTAGAACATGTTAAAAACTATCACTATCTTGGCACAATAATTAATCACACAAACGATTACTCCAAAGAAATCAAAGTTCGAATAGAGAAAGCACGTATGAACTTCAATAAAATGAGAAAGGTACTTTGTGCAAGAGAACTAAAATTGGACTTGAGAGTTAGGCTGGCAAGGTGTTATATTTTCTCAACTCTGCTTTATGGGATGGAAGCATGGACACTTAACGCGTCGACTACTAAAAAGTTGGAAGCATTTGAAATGTGGGTCTGTAGAAGAATACTGAAGATATCATGGACCGAGCATGTAACAAACAACGAAGTCATGAGAAGAATCAACAAAAGAATGGAAGTATTGAAAACCATCAAGACACGAAAGCTGCAATACCTGGGGCATGTTATGCGTAATGAGAGATAGAACCTACTTCAATTGATTACGCAAGGGAAAATCCAGGACAAGAGAAGTCTAGGAAGAAGAAGAATCTCATGGTTGCGTAACTTGAGGGAATGGTACGGATGCACATCAATTGAACTATTCAGAGCAGCAGCATCTAAGATCAGAATAGCCATGATGATTGCCAACCTCCGTCGCGGAGATGGCACGTGAAGAAGAAGATCATTTTTTCTGCTAATAATTTTCTTCTCAGCTCTAACGGAGGTTCCACAGTTTTTACTCTTAACGGTGTAATTAAAGTTGATTTCATTGCACCAATACAGAGTAGCCCAAGCTTTGTTTTGTATATAATTTTTTGAGGAATTTATTATTTGCATAGCATATAAGAAGCTACCATAATCTATACTGGATCTTATATTATATGATTTATAAAAATTTAAGGCTGTTTGGGCTCTACCTTCCACCATGTCCATATAAAGGTTAATTCTTGTCTAAAGAGATTCCGAGATATTCTATTTGGTGGGTAAAAAAAGAAATTAATGTCATTCAGTTTTAAGGTGGTACAATTTGGAATATTGTCTCTGGTGAAAATGGTCATTTTAGAATTATGCAGGGATATATCAAAACCTGGAATTACTATTATGCTCTGGATGAAAGGTAAAACTGTTGTGTTAAAACTTTTTAAACTTGTATAAGATATGTTTAATTGTCTTTTTTTGTATGTTAAATTTTATAGATTAGGCGTTAGGGAGTTGTTAAATACAATAAATTTTATTTTATTCTTTTATTAATGTTTCACCTTGATTTATTTTTAAATAAAAAGGTAAAAGCTATAAGATTTTTAAATTATACGGCAAACTGTCAAAATAAAATATATTATCATCGTTCTTTATCAAGATCTAATATATACACGACCTATTGACTTAAAGTCTCAATCTCGAAAGATTCTACCTGTCCGTTTACTATCAAGATCGCAATACAGAGAAAACATAATAATTCTTAAAATAATTCACAGAAACAACAAAGAACCTGCGCCCATGAAAGCATCCAAACATCCCAGAAACGAAAGAATAATTGCCTAAAACTGCTACGAGAACAAATACTTTTTATAGTTCTAAGTGTTTTTGTCACCGGGCATCTTCATCTTCTACGATCCCTCTTCACGGTAACAATATGTCAAAGTGTCTTGAAATATTGGCCGTGGACCACCCCTGTTTACACTAGGAACAATAAAAATACACAAAACTTTTAAGCACCGTTTATTTTATGCAACTGAACTGAAATTAAGCTTTATTTAGTACCACTCAGTGGTGTTCGAAAGGAAATTTTGTAGGGTTTTATTTAAAAAATATAATTATCTTCTATTTACCCAATATATTGTTAACAATTTTGTATCACTTTTTAAACTTTAATTTACCTT